CTCCTTACTAGATTGGCTTAGTGCCGTCAAAAGTCCTTCGACTATAAAGAAACCCCGGAGGAGCTTCGCATGAAGTTGTAGCCACTAGATTATGTAGCTATGCCTCTGCAAGGTGGGATCAAATCCCATAGCTTCGATTTCAAAAAGGAAAGCCTAAGGTCGCCTCTTGGAAAACGATGACGTCAAAGCTGAAGGAGAGGTTCTTGGCAGTAACACATTATTTAATAGTATCTAGCAAGAGACTAAGAGCCTATCGGAATATACAAAGATGTTTTACCAACTCATGGTAAGAAATGACAAACAAGAAACGGAGAAGCAGCTCATTTCTAGGTATGCTAGTGCCTTGCGACTAGCCATTGGACATGAGGTTGAGATGCACCGTCTATAGAAGATTGATGACGCTTATCGATTAGCGTCAAAAGTAGAGGCGAAACTTAATCGAGTCAATGTTAGACGGCTCACTGACACCCATGGCTCTTCTAAGAGCGCGGTGTTCAAAAGTGAGGACTCAAACACCAATGGGAGTAAACAAATCTCCCAAGGATCCCACTTCCGACCGTCGTGGTTATGTCCCTCTCAATCGGCCCTCTAGGCCCCACCGAAGCCTATAACTTGCCTCAAGTTTGGCCAAACTGGTCACCTTTCAAGTGAATTTCCCCAAAGGCAGCTTGATTCATGAATCAATCTAGCAGAGGACGCGGGAAAGAGGATTTATTAAGAACAGTTCTGGACCCACCTATGATGAAGAGCCTGAGCTGGTACATGAAGCAATTGAGCCCGAGGTAGGCGAAAGCTTGGTAATCCGCCGTGCTCTGACCACTCCTAAGGCTGATCTAGGTGAACATTGGCTTCAGTCAAGCATTTTTAAGACCCGATGCAAAGTTGGTGGCAAGTTATGCACAATTGTAATTGATGGCTGTAGTTGTGAGAAATTAGTCTCACAAGAAATAGTGGACAAGCTCAAACTGAAAACCCAGCAGCATCCGAAGCCATATCGCATTGCATGGCTCAAGAAAGGCAAAGAGGTAAAAGTCTCTCAGTGCTGCCTTGTTTCTTTTTCTATGGCGAAGGCATATAAAGATGATATATGGTGTGATGTCGTTCCTATGCATGTGTGTCACATCGGCCAGCCTTGGCACTTTGATAGGGTGTAATACATGATGTTCACAAAAACACTTGGAAGGGATTAGCAATGGGTCTACATTTTAATAAGCAGTTGAATGGTGCCCATAGGAAGAAAGAAACTCAAAAAAGAATTCCAATGGACAGTGATGAACTCTCCAAATGGACAGTGATGAACTTTCCATAGGTTTATCCGATTTATCTGAAGGTGTCGTTGTGCCAAGCATGTAGGGAGATATCAGCAGCTCCCAGCCAAACCTATTTATGGAGGCCACCCATGTCCTGGCTCCACTAGACCAAGGATATAGATGCTCCTTTGAACTAAGGGTTCTTTCCGTGTAGGGCTCTGATGGCCCTCCCTTCTAAAGGGAAAGAGAACAATACTCCACCATTGGGTAGTCTAAGACAACCCAGGTCAGGTTTCCCCACATAGCCTGGCAGGTCATCTCTTTGTGGCAGTATTTTGAAAGTTCACGTCAGGCCAAGGACTCAGCCCTTACCCGAGCCGAGTTACTCAGGCCAGTCCGAGTTACTCACCCTAGTAGTTCACATGTGAAAAACACTAAAGAAAAACACAGATGAAAAAGGAAGAGGGGACAGGTGGCTTGGCCACGTGCCCAAGCATGCAGCCTGCCTTCGACGCCATTTCCCACAGCCCTATCCATTTTCTCTCGATCTTATCTCCCCTCTCACTCTCTCTCTTTCCCGCCTATCTTCTCTCAAGGAAAAGGAAAATGAAGAAAACCAGGTAACTTCCGTCAAATCTAGATCGAGAGGGACAAATAGAATGAGGAGATGGGAAGGAGTCAACATGGAAATCAAGCAATCTTCTTGTTTCTGCTAATCTTCAATGAATTGATTCCCTTCTCTCCTAGGTGTGCAAGAGAGAGAGAGCTGTCGTAGAGAGAGGAGAAGAATCTCACCATGGATGAGTGGTGTTTTAGAGAGAGAGCAACATAGAAAGAGAGAGTGCCCAGTTGGGATTTCTAGTTGCGTTTCTCGGGTCATGGTGGATGAGAATGAGGGAACGAGGGTTTTTTGGGGGGGTCACAATGAATGACAGAACAAGGGGATGAGGGTTGCTTGCGAAAGATGCCAGAGAGAAAGAGGGAGAGAGGGGGGAATGAAAAAGGGGGTTAGAGAGAGAGAGGAATTTTTACCATTTTTTTAAATTTTTTGGAAATTTTTGTGTAACCCCGAGTTGTATGTACAGCTCGGGCAACTTGGCCTTGCTCAAGTCCAGTTACACTACTTTGCAGTTTAAAATGGCCAACCAGGGATGACTGAAGTTTGTGCCCTTATTCTGCGATGTGGTGATCCTCTACGGTGATGAGTTTTGGGAATAAAGACCTCTGCTTGCTATATGCAAGCTGGGATGATGTTGGAAGAGTGAGAGTGAGGGACCTAGAAGGTTGCAAAGAAATTGTTGCGATATTGGGAGCGAGATGAGGGGGTTAGACCTAAAGGTCCTCAAAGATGAATGTAGTTTTGATATGGGGTGGCAGAGGTGGGCAGAAGAGGCCATCAGGAGGAAGAAATGGAGGGACGCCGCACATGGGTAAAAAAAGCAGGAACGAAATATTTAATTATATATATACATTTAAATATGAACCTTCTTCAGCAGATTTTCCGAACAGAACAAAACCTATCCCTCAATAGTGCTTGGACATTAACTTGTTAACTGTTGCTCAAATCATGAATTCTGGTTTCTTATGGCTTTGGATACATTTCATAGCTCACAACCAGAAATCCCACTGGCATTAAACCTCAGGCTTCTTCACCTCCAATTAGGCACAGTCACAGTCAAAACGCCATTCTCCTTTGAAGCCATCAGCTGATCAACCTTTGGATCTTCAGGCAGCCTAAATCGCCTCAGGAATTTATCCTTACGTCTCTCTACCCTGAGCCACTTTCATTCTTGCCCTCTGTTTCCTTGTTACTCACTCCTTTATTGTGAAAAACCTGGCCTTCTTATCGTTAGAAGATTTTCAAGACATTATTTAACCGCACAGGATTCTATAATTCACAAAAACAGAAATGATGGCTTTGCTGAAGAGTTTCAAGGTGTTCCACCAACTTTTAACAGGGCCCTGTGTAAAGGAAAGTGAATCAATAAAATGTAATTTGAGGCAGGACAGGATATGACAACCCTGTATAGATGATGCAACAATACTCAACCTCAACTACTTTGTAACGATAAAGTGTCATGTTGAGTGCGGCTGCAGGCAAAGGCTGAACCCGATGCTGGATGAGCAATGAGAAAATAATTTCTTTATGATCTAATCATGTTGTAGAAAAACAATAAGAATGTTGATGTAATTTAATGCACACTTACTTTAATGGAAGTATTTAAAACAAAAAAGAATATGCTTCAACTATGGGAATTTGTAGATGCAGAGAAAAAGTCTTTGAAATTGAAGATCTAATGGTTACATCTTGAAATGATAAACAAGTTTAAAGAGAAAACAACTTGACGAAAAGGTTCCAGAGAACAAACTATAAAAATCATGTTAGTGCATGTTAGCACTTCCCCGTGAAGAGTTAGAAAAATATTCATTAAGTAAACTCGATAACATGCCTTTAAATTAAATGCTACCTGATATCAGAAGCATCAGACTGAAGACCTGTACCAATAACTCCGCCTTCAAACATTTCTCCACCAGAAGAATGCAGCAAGGTAACCCGAGGATGGTTTTGGAGGGGAGTAAAAAGGGGTCCTGCATTTGCCATGCGAGGTGGGTATTCCACTCCAGCATTCTGTAATTTAAAGAGACGATGTTCTTGTTACATCAGTTTTAACCTTATACCTTATACTCATTTCCAAATACCGCAATACTCTAGTACCAGATAGGATGGAGGAATAAAAATATAAGTTCATGCACAAGAAAAAGAAGTGCCATCAAGCAACAAAACAAGAATTTCATTACTAAAGAACAACGGAAGTTCTAATATTTTAGACAATCAATAAATCCCCTATAAAAATGTTACAAGTGAGCATAAAACACGCTCCTGCAAGGAAAATACATGTCGTGAGATCCATTGGCATGGCATCCCCTTGTTAATTATTTTCATTTGCAAATGGAAAACAATCACTAGCAACTACTGCAGGCTAGGGAACTCCAAGTTATTAACCATATTGTTCTTTAGTACCTAGACAGAATTCCCTGATTCCATAACACAGAGAACTTGAAGTCGTCAATTTTACTATAAGACAAGTATCATCTTTTAATTCATCCTCTTCTTGTCTAAAGAAATGGGCGTTGAGCCCATCGCATATGATGGGAGCCGTCTCGTGCAGCATGATGACAATCAGCACTTTGAGAAACATAGGAACATGAATGGACTCATACTTTTTTTTTGTCCTATTTGGGAATTAATAGTATCGAGGGAATGGAACGGATTCTATTTATTATTGTGGGCAAAGATAGCAATTTCGCAAAGTTCTACTTTCTTAGGATTAACATGAAGCCTTTGTAGATTTGTTAGGATTCTCTTAGTACATGGGGTTCCATAAAAAGAGGAGAGTTAGACATGGAAGAGAAGCTGCATGGAATGCTGAAAAAACAAAGAAAAACAACAGAGGTACATGATATCTATGGAAAGAGAGAGGCCAGAATTCCAGAGGTAAAATTTTTTTTTTTTTTTTGAGAATTAAAAAGGAAGAGAGGAAGTTGAGAGCCAATTTTCAAGGTGGGTATCTTAATTTTGTGGGAAGTTCATGGAGATGAAGTTTGAAAGGAATTGTTTTTAAAGTAATGGAATTAGGAGAGAAAATAGGAAGTTAAGAAAGAAAGTAATGGAATTAGGAGAGTAAGTAATGGAATTAGGAGAGAAAGTAATGGAATTAGGAGAGAAAATAGGAAGTTAAGAGAGAAAGTAATGGAATTAGGAGAGAAAGTAATGGAATTAGGAGAGAAAGTAATGGAATTAGGAGAGTAATGGAATTGGGAAAGAAAGTAATGGACGTGTTAGGTAATTTTATTGTTATTTTAATTTGGAGTCTTTAAGTTAAAGTTTGGTCCACATCATCAGTTTTTTGAGTCTAGTGTTTTAGAAAGCTATTGAAGCTTGGCTTGTAAGCTTCTATCGTTAATTCAAATAGATTTTTAGTTCTTTCGTTTCTTTCCATGGGGAGGGCTAAATATGTCAAGATCCATGGTTGCCATGTCAAGGAAGACTAACCTTAAAATACCGCATATCAGTAAAACAACCTAATTTGTTCAGTTTGGAAACGAGGAGCATGATATATGATGAGGAATCTGCTCAGTCCTCTTACAGCAGTATATTTCAAACAATTGCAATTCAAAGGTAGTGTTTTATTACATAGTATTTTACTGATCAATATTCATTGCGCACTGCCTACAAGGCAATCAAGTAATTCATTGCTTTTTCTTTTTCTTTTTCTTTTATGGGAGAGAAAAGATTGACTGATTTCTATAATATAAAGTTGGGCAAGCCACAAAAGCCATGCTCAAATACAAAAAAGGTCTCTAAGAAATTAAAAACCAAGAAAACAGGAGAGACAAAAGCAGCAGCCACAAATTGTAGACTGCAACAAAACCAAGAAATCATGGTGGGCCAGTGAGATATGGGGATTGGGTAGAAAACAGAGAGATGCAGAGAGAAAAAGATGAGGAGAAATATAAGCGAAGAGAGAGAAGGTGAAAGAGAGGCAGTAGAAATATGAAAGTGACCTCGGCTACCCTGCAAAGGGTATATGTGTGGCCAAAGAAGTGAGCTAGTCTCCAAAGGGGTTGAGCCTTTTCATAGCCCATAAGATCGAGTTCCTCAAATACACTTCCACTGTTAGGTATTCTATGTTGTTCAAGACTTCATGGTGCCAAGGGTGCATTTAATGCCTTCTAGGATAGCTACTGTTTCAGCCCTGGTAGAGTATGGTGTCCAATGAACCTTAAAAAGGACAAGATCTTGATGATATGGTCATTGAGGTTTCCTCCATACCACGAGTGACCTGTGTTCTGAGGGAGCAACCGCCGACATTGAGCCTCAGGGTTCCCCAGGGTAGGGGAACCCAGGGTAATCCAAGAGGGTGAAGGTCTAATGGTGAGATACAAGATGTATTTCCAAATTAGAACGGAAATGGAGGAGCCCAAGTTGCTGCACAGTGGCAATCTCTTAGACCAAAAGATTGTAACAGTTTTGATGCGCTCGAGAAGGGAGTGTGTGGGCTGTCTTAATGCTCAGAAAATGCAAGCATTTCTTTCATTCTATGGTTGCTGGAACCTTGTAGGAAAGGTCATGGACCCGCTCTGGAACCTTGATCCCACATTTCCAGCTAGGTTTGAACCACGGTTCTCAAGTGTATGATGCAGTGCATATGATGCTTTTTATATGCACTAATTAAGGTTTGTACCCAATGGTACTGTAAACCAACGCATCATTAGCGATCCCTTAAAACTTACTAGTGTAACTCCTTACTCATGGAATCGCACATCCCTGTGATAAGGATCATGATCCCATGATATAAGATCGTATGGACGAACATCCTAACCACACCGAGCTTCCAGCAATCCACGCTTTTGTGGACCGGAGCCAGCTCCCACTCCCAGGAATGTACGAGCACATGACAACTATGTTTCATTCCAAACCACCAATAACAAAGCAAAGACACAGGCTACACAAAGATTGAGGCCATTTTTTGGCAGATGAGAGCGGAATGCAACAGAGCGACCCATTGTCTCAACTTCTAGGCCCTGTTTGGATTTCGGATAAGCATCTTGTATAAGTAGCTGATATGCCGGACTTACATGTGTGGGCCTCATTTTTAAAGTATATGGTGTAGTGGAAATTGCTAGAGTAATTTGGTATCCTTTATTAAGTAACATTGAACTTATTGAGATGGGGTTGAACATTAAAGCTAGTTTCTTCCCCATTCAGAACCGGGCAGTGTCTGCAGTTAATTGCAGAGGCAATCCAAACTGGCCCTTATATCATGGACTATCATATGTTCTGGGGAAGATGACTCAGAGGTCGGTATATTGCAAATATGAGTGTCAATAGTAGAACATGAGGCTTTGGAGCCTGTTGCTGCCATAAACATCCACGAAGATCTTACAAATCATGTAATTTGAGCTGCAATACAGATTACATGACTGCATATGTCAATGTGATATGGTGAGCATGTGCATGTGCATGCACATATGCATGTCTATGTGAATGTTTTGACATTAAAGTAGAGAGAGGCCCGGGTAGAAAATTATATACCTACAACAAGACAGATCATGAGTGACTTGTCAAAACCAAAACAAGACGTGAATAGAAGGGAGCCACCTAAGCATACCTCGCATGCTGTAACTGTTGCTGATAAAGTAGAATGGAGTAGAATGGTGTGCATGGACAATAAAACTCAGAAATTTCCTTAATTTGCCCTCCCCCACCCCGTTCCCCACCCTTTTTTTCTTTTTCCTCTCCTCCCCACAACAAAAACGAGACATTATTAGGAATTCACAGAAATGAAAATCAACCTTTTACTTGAAAACTGGAAATAAAAGCGGTTTCTTGAAGATGGCCGCAGAAATATCATTGGAAGCACTTTCTGGAATTCAATTAGCAGGTTAAAACCTTCCACTGATAAAAGCATTCAAAAAGTTGACCACAATGTTCCATTGACTACTGATAAGAACGAAATAATGAAAAGCAAGATATTTGGGATGAGAAAGCCCTTCTTGGTGTCTCTAGTCCTCTTTCTTGCCCATACCCCACCCCTTCCTTCACCTCACATGAACCACAGCCTCTTTAATTATGTCTGAGCACCCAATTGTGGGTTTCCATTTTGAAAACCTACACATACATGGTGCTTTTGTAAGTCCTAATACATCATAAGTATACATGCTGACTATTATCAAAAAGAAGGAAAAACAAGGGAGAGAGCCTTGTTTGGTCCCAAGGGAATTACTAGGAAGAACATCTCATGAGCATTAATATGGTTGGAACCAAGAAGCTACAAGGTACCACCAATCCAATCCATAGTAGCTATGGCCCAAGTCCCATCCTAGGCGAAAATCCTGCTATGGAATCTCGCTCCAATGCAGCGGAAAAGGATCTTTGAGGGATCTCATTTTTAATTTTGGGATCTTCATCTCCCCCCCCCCCCTTCCCTCCTCTTCCCTCTTCTCCTCCTTTCTTTTAGAATCTAAATCCCCACCTTAAAGACCAATACAATGACCAAACTAATGATTATTTTTATTTATAGCAAGCCATGAAACTATACTTTCAATATAGCGGTATTGCATGCTGGTTATAAATAAAGAGATCCCTACTCTAAATACTATATATAGTCCACGAGCATATATACCCTTTAATGTTAGGGGCAAGATCCCTAAAAGGTTGGATCAAGATCCCAGAAGGTAGGGATCGAGATCCACAAAAGGTTGGGATCAAGATCCCTAACATATGTATTGTATGGGAGGTGCTCACAACCATAGGGAACTTCTAATCTTTCATGATCCCCTGCTCCCAATTCCATTCCTGCTCCGACCCCAACAACTATGATCTTATCTATATGCATAGCAATGGAAGAATGATAAAATGAAGGAAAGCAAGTGAATGAACTTATCAGGCTGGAGAAACAAATGGAGTTCCAGGTTGTCCTAAATTCCATAGCTAATTTTTAGTCTCAGTTTGAGTTGATCAGCAAGGAGATGATTCTATCATGCTAACAGGATAATTACTTCCAAACCCCAAGAAGAGAGAGAGATAAGAACAAATGAGCCCTTATCTAGCGACATGCAAATGCTTCTTTTGGTGGCTCTTGGTTGTGGGCTGGGTTGGTTACTTTTAACAAATAGTTTTCTTTGACGTAAGAGGAGCAGGGTAGAAGATAAGGAACTTATGACCAGATAAAGAACTTATGATCAGAAGAGGTTGATACTATGGTTGAGGTGCTCTTATTGTATGATAAAGATTAAACCCAACACAAGAACAGCCTTCAGTAAGGGGGAATTAAATAAGGTGTAGTGTCATGAATGAAATAAGCATGCTTAGCTTCAGAGTCACAATTACTTGGACTATGAAACCTCATCAAGGGCCACCCCAATTAAAGGAGGAGACCAAAGGAGAGTGTGAACACTAACAGCAGAAGCATAGCCCCGATAAACAACTTATGATGTAAGCAAAGCAAGAAAGGAACACCCCAGGAAGGACTAAATCATGGTCACCATCAGAACTTATCTACTGGCAACACAATATTTTGCCAACACAAGCAAGGCAAGGGGGATGGACACCAGGTACACCACAAGTACAGAGGATGAAGCAGTCTGCCAGACTGCCACGGTAAAGTGAGTACCAACGATCTGGAATTCATAATGACTGCGTCAGCTAGAGAAATGATAATGATAACCCTGACAAGATATAGCAGATGAAAACGAACATATCCAGACAGGTACATCATACAGAAGAGAATAATGACAAGAAAATATTTACATCCAGGAGAGAATAGGTTTAGACAAATGTTGCAGAAACTCCATCCAGTTTAGGCAATGCCGGCGACCAAAATAGCCAAACTTTTGATGCATAATGTTGATTCCACTGTAACTAAATAATCACGGTGATCGGCAGTAGGAAAGTAAAAGTATGAGGAGTCACCAGAAGTATAGTATCACTCTCTTTTGGCCTAAATTGTGTCAAGGTTTTCAACTCAAATCACGAAGGCTTTCCTCATGAAGCATGAACAAGTTAAGCGCACATGCTCATGCAAATATTGATTCAAGGACCATTTCCAACAATCTGTCAGCCAATTCCAAATTATTATGTATTGGACTTTCTATGGTAACGGGCAGAAAGAACAAAGGCAGATGTATTGAGGCAGTGACAGGGGTGAAAGCATAATTTCCAAATGAAAATATTCTCCCTGAAGCACAAACTGACAAGAAAGGCCACGGCATGAGAAACATAAAAGAAAGAAAGTGAATCCGGTGCTATAGTTTATAGAAGCAGATGATGAAAATGAAGTATTGGAGTAATTACCAAAAAGATAAGTACTTCAATAGATTACACATCGTGAAACCATACAAATATTAAAAAATCAACCACTTAGTACCTTTAATTCCTGATAAGCAGCATAGAACTGAGGATATTTTCCTGAAGGTCCCCCAAATGCTTCCTGCCAAGCGTCTAGAAGAACCAATATTTTTTCCCTCACATTTAAGTCAGGCTGCCCAAGAAAAAATCACAAGCCATCACAAGAAAAGTGTTTCATTTACAAAACTGTGACAGCAAACAATCGATATCCCAAATGCCATAGAGCTTAGCCACGGACCTTTTTCTTCACAATTTTAACCATTTCATGCAAAATATCACGCTCAATGATTTGTACAAGAACGCTGTCCCCACAGTTTTTGGTCATAGTCTCTAACACCTGCATTAGTAAATTCCATGAACAACGGTATAAACTTCAAGGAACTTGAGATACCAAGACAGCTACTTGTCAGCAGTCTGCACAACTGAAATGATCCATAAGAATTGATATAGCCAGAAGTTCCAGAGCATTACATACAACACAGATTTGAAAGGATCTAACTAAACCACATACAACACTGGTAAGAGGATGTTCAATTTCCATGGATGTATAAAATCCAATTCACTGATATCAGTGGTTTTGTAATCAATCTGGTAAGAGGATGTGTTCAATTTCCATGGATGTATAATATCCAATTCACTGATATCAGTAGTTTTGTAATCAATCTTGATTAATTATTTGGATGTGCATAGTGCATTAGCAACTATGAAGGAAGAAACTCCATATGTATAGAGATTTAAGATTACTTGACAGACGCAGCAAACTAAACTAGGAAGCATGTATAAAAGATGTCTTTCCCTTCTATTTCACAGTTTGCATTGATAAACATAAATACGCATGGAACAGTTAGGACCTCCAATATGCATCTGATCATATGCACTTTTGAAATCTCATAGATCTCATATTATTTGTTTTAAAGAGAAGAAAAAAATAGGAGCCCTAATTCTTTTATTCACGAGGACATCAAAAAAATTGAAAGTGAAAACCGAGGTCATTTGATCTTTTAAAATGTCTTAGTTAATTAAGGGTATTTATGTCTTTTGGATCTGTTGAGAATTCAGGGGGAGTTTCATCCTTTATTATTTTCTTTTAATTAGGGGCAGTTATGTCATTTTGTTTAAGTTAAAATTGTGCAAAAAAGGGAGAAGGGGACATCAAGACCCTTTGGGATTCTTTATTTTGGGAACTTGGAGAAAAAAACAAAAGTAAACCTAGAAAGGGCCACCTAAATTCTTTGACTGGTCATAGAGAAGGCATGGTAGCACCTCGGTCCCTTCATTCCAAAGTATTCTTCAATTTCTTTCTCTTTTATTTCCCTGTACTCTCTTCCTCTCATTTCTTCCTTTTTCTTTCCCTATGTTCTTTATTTGTCATCTTCCCCCCATCTTTACTTCTTTTCTTTTCCTTTCCCCTTCTTCTCCCTTCTTCTTTCTTTCCTTACGTTTTTTTTGCTCTATTATAACCTCCAAACAGAAAAAAATCATATCTAAAGAATCCATCAAAACCCTAAAGAAGAAAAAAAGCTCTAGGTCTTCAGAATTAACCAAAACCATCCATGCTGAGATCCTCAACCTCAATGCCCTCACAACAGTAAAACCCCTAATTTATACACCCAATTAACTTCAAAACCCTAGAACTAATTGTGGAAACCAAGGTTAAAAAACTCGCAAGCCGCGCCTAGGTGGCCGGGCACCCAAAGACATGGGCACCCAATTATCAAAATTCTTTTTCTTTATGGTTTGTTTAGATATTGAACCCCCCTGGATACGAGTTAAAATACCAAATTTCAAAAGAAAGAAACCCAACAGTAAACCCATACATTCATAAATCACAAATTGCATCAAATAGTAAAACACTAAAGAAAATCACATATAGAAATCATCACAACTCATAAAATGAAAAAAATATTTCAGTTTCAACTCTTTGTACAAAGAACATCCAATGTTTCAAACAAGCATGATGAACTCATAATTGCTAGCTATATCAAGGTCCTTTCCACCACCAGATGCATCTGAAGCTGATGATATGTTCAAAGTTTCAGAGTATTTACAATCCATATTGTAAAATCACAAAAAATTCACAAATTATAGAAACAACATTATAAACACAATCAAACCATACCAATCTAGATTCTGAAGTCGTAAAAAATCATAAAAAAATAAATAAAATAATAAAGAACGAGAAAGTTATATATAGAATTTGGTTTATTTTGGTTTAGGTTTAAGTTTATTGAACTTTAGATTTCAAATCCTAATCCAAAGTTCAAGTAAAAAGGTTCAAAACTTAAAAACACACCCAAACTATACAAATTCATATACTACAGTTGGAAAAAATACAAGTAGCACAAATATGATGAACGGAAAAGTTAGAGAGAAAATTATGTTTGATTTGTTTTAGGTTTAATGAATTTTGGGATTCAAATCCTAATCCTTTGTAAACAAAGTTAAATCATAAAACCATACTAATCAACATTCTAAAGATCAAATAAATCACAAATAGCACAAACAAAAACAAAAAAACATAATATTTATATTATGAGAAATAAACAATTGGTCATAAAACCCTACACCAAAACTTGAAAACATCTAACTATTAAAACAGAATCCTTCAAGCTTTGAAAGGGTGTGCTTCGGTTGCCAGAAACCTCTTTTCACAACCCCTTCAAGCCCCAATAAGATCGGGTGTAAATGCCTTTCGATTTTGCAAGAAATCAAAAACATCGGATTTTTGTTCGATCTTGGATTTCTCACAAGAAATCTGGATTTGAGTGTGTTTTTGGCTGAAATTGGTTCCCCAAGGAATTTGGGGGGTTAAAATGACCCCCCATGGTTTTAGTACAAATTTTTGGGGAGCAAAAAGACCAAAAATGCCCCTAACCGGGGGCATGGCATTTTCGCCCTTCTAATTTTTTGGGGGCAGCCTAGGCATCCATATTGATACATAGTCCCCCATCCCAACCAACTACACCGAGTCAATGCACCCAAGGCCTCTGGCCGCCTAGGAAGCCCGCCAAGGCATTCAGGCAGGCAAATTTTCCAACATTGGAAGAAACCCTTCGGAATTAATTTAAAATTGCTCTACACCCTCTTCTTTTCTCCAGGCTGCAAGTTAGCTTTAAATTTGATCAATTTTATTTAGCTGATTTTATTTAAGGGCAGATTTCAACCAATTATGAATTTGAAATCTCACCTCAATAAAGCAAATTCCTCAAGTGCAAGTTGATTTACAGAAGTTGCTTATTTCGCTTTGTGGATGATTACCTGCTGAAACTGTAATTATTTAACCTCATTTGAATTTAGAGCATTCTCCAATATTAGTGAGTGGCTGATCTTAGGTTACATCAGATATGCTGAGGTTGCATCTGGAGAGCAACATGCAAATCTATCTTATGAGTATTCAGAAAAAGTTTACCAGTTCATATGCAAATGAGAACCCCATCTTGTTCACAAGTGTGGACAAGAGTGTGGTACGGGGCTCTGATATCAAAGAGCGAAATTTGTGATACTGAGTGGGAGTGACAACAGAAGTGCCAATATACGTCAGGTACGAAATCAGTGTCAAGACACAGTGAAAAGGGTATGACACAAGTGACTACAAACTCATAGCAATTGTTGCATGAATATTTTCAGTTTAATACCTCCTCTTTTAACCTGATATACTTAAACATATTTATTGCAACTTTCAGGCAAACAAAAGCAGAATAATATAGATATTTATAGACTATAGCATTCTATGCGAAAAGGTGAACTATTCATGCCAATGACCAGACATAGTTACAGAATAAATACAGGAAAACAATGAAAGGGGAACATGACAACCCTTGGGCACAAGAGTGTTGTCAATGGGGATCAAATCATGGGATAAAACCATGGACTTAGTAAACCATTAGATGTTCGAATGCGCATTACAGTCAAAATCCTGAAAAGGAAGGTATATGACGGAAATTCAGAGAGCATTAAAGATGGAACATATTTAGGGCTCCAAATTCTTTTTTTTGTTTTCTTTTCCCCCTTTTCAAATCATGATTGATGATCAAGAGGACTGATTTGGAGAGTTTTAGGTCCTCAATCCATCCCAAGAGAGGTTTTTGAGGTAGTAGCAGTCATATGAACAGCAGCCACAGTGTTATGAAAACGTTTCTGGATAAAATGCACACAAAATAGGTCATTTGTATAATGATCTGATTATCATAATCATATCATCCTCTGAGATCCTTGCTTCCTAAGATCCACATGAGATACGCGCGCTTCAAATGACAAGGATTGGAGTAGTTACAACAATGAGATCAGATAATTTGAACTATCACAGATTCTGAACTGATCACATATTTTATTCTGCACTCAACAATAAAAGGAAGAATAGCAAGGCAGTAACCAGCAATGAAATTCGGTAAGCTCCAAGAACAACAGAACAAAAATGTTACTAATTATGTCGTTCAATTGTAAGTGAGCTTCTTCTATTTAGATGAATGACTTACAGTAAATTTTGAGATTTGTATACTCACAGTGAGCACGAGAAGTTGTATTTTGGGATTTTTACTTCCAAGACGCTTCTTAACTGTTTTCATGGCATCCTTGGTTTGGCTGCTCAACATGCAATTAATGACAAAAGATACATAATTTCAGCTAGAGGTCAATTCACATCAGGAACAGAAAATTTGACTAAATAAGAGACACGACAAGAAATGTATCGATCTGATACCATATAGAGATATAGGAAGATAACCATATCATAATGGAGGAAATAGTAAGAAAATCATGGATGGATCATACTGTCCAACATTGAGCACTACCATTCGGTAATGATTGTGTGACTAACAACTAACAAGCACAACTGCCTGCAAACCACCAGAAAGAATAATGAACAGATACATTTATAGAATACGAAAACTCACTTTAGTCACTCCTACTCAAATAATGAGGACACACCGAGTTAAATTTTGAGTTTCTGTGATACATTATACCCCCAGAAGAATAAATAATGCATCTCTTGGATGACCTTTCACAAAAAGCACTTCCTTTGCAAAGTGTGGTTTGATTGGGAAGATTTTGGATGGGACTGAATTTACCTTGCTGATTTTTAAGATTTTCCAGAGAAGCTCCCGAGTATTATTAGTTCCCCAGGAGGCCAGAAGCTCTATTTCAAGCTAAATGGGAGACACTCTAGATAAGAGAATCGGGTAGACGATGTTAGATACCATAAACCTATCAATCCTGTGGAATGCTATCTAATTATCCATTCAATGGTGGGTTTTGAGAGTATGCCAGATGTTATCTAAAGCAGCAACGTTATGCTTCAGTGTTTGGCCTCTCTTCACGCATCAACCAACCAAGAAAATCATTAATGGGAATCAGTAATAAAAGGATGGGAAAAAATGGCATTGAAGAAGGAATTACCCTCATAAATGCCAATTTTCCAAACCATCTAATCCATCAATTTCCCTTTCTTGGATGCCTATCAAGATAGTCAAGACATCAGAAAAGCTGCCGATAGACTCCTCGAGAGGAGGGGATGAGGACAACATAACCAGCAAGACCAGTGGGAGAAAGCTCAACGCAAAGAGATATAAGTATCAAACACATATAAAAAAAAAAAGAGATATAAGTATCAAATCCAACTGGTTGTGGAGATGCTCTTTGAGAAAGGAGAATGGGAAAAAAGGTGAATTTGTTCAAGATGGCCACGAGTTTTAGAGTCTAGCAAGTATCAAAACTCAAACGCATGGCGTACTATGGGAATTTGAGGAGGATGTAAATTTTAGTGTTGTAAACGACAAATAATTGTAGTGTTGTGTAGAGAAATATGGCAACCCCTATCTTCATACTACAAAAGAGTTTTCCTTAGGTTGCCCCTGACAAATATCTTAATGGTGAGGTGCAGAGAAGGAGTTTAAGAGGATTTCAAACGCAATTTCAAGAAGCATACACTGGCAAATACGAGAAGAAGAACGATTATAATGGGGACACGAATCTTTAGCCATTTCCCATCAATATATTATGGTGTCTCAACTACTTATTTTCAAAGTGTGTGGTCATGCAAAGGGAAGTCCCCCAGGTGACTCTGATTTGCTTTACCTTGTTTAATTCTTTGCAAAATACCATACCCTGCAGCACCCTGATTATTGCCATTTGCATGAAAGTGGAAGAGACAGTAGGCCACCATGTGATGTAGATTGTTTCCAGCTATAAACAAAAAAATATTGAAGATTGGGCACAGAATATAGTGCTCCAACAAATTATTCCAGGTGACCACAAACGCAAATGTTCATTAGATAAAACATCCATTGGACTGGATGCCTAGAACTAAGGGATTTCAGTTTTATAGGCAACTCTACTCTATTGTTGCCTACAAAACTGAAATACCTTAGTTCTAGGCAACAACAGAGTACAAAATAAGGCAAAAGGGATTAGGATCGAATAAAATAAATAAAGTGGTTTAAAATGAATTACATGCATATTACGATGACAAGATACAGTAGTTTTAAAGTTGTGAAACCTAGGGATCCCCTGTTGACACTTAATATTTCATTCAGATAGCCCCTAATCATTTTATCTTGTTTGTGTGGAAGACCCAAACACAAAGGTAGAATGCCAAAAATGTGAAGGCATTGGTAGCAAGTGTCATAATGACACCATATATCCAAATCAGAAAGCATGATAGCAAGAAAAAAAAATTTCTCCAACAGGCCAATTGTGTGTGTTTGCATGCTTGCCCTTGGGCTAGATAATCAAAACATTGATCATTGCTCACTTCTTATATAAAGTTTCATGTACCAACACAAGTCATCAAAGCAACTAATATTTATAATTACAAAAAAAAAAACACCAAAAAGTGTGTCAGCCTTCAATCGAAACCTTTTCAGCTTACATTATGCTTCAACACTGTAGAAGGTAGTTCTGATGTTTTGAACTAGTACAAGATCATGCATAACCAGCTTCACTTTTTTGGATAAACTAATCATTTTCACATTTCCTGGAGCATGAATACAAATTTGTGGTGGCCAACCCAGCACAACATACACCCAAAGAAAGACCCATCCAGTACATATAATCTCCTTAGAAATGCGCAATTGCAATCATGATGTGCCATCTTCAACATTATTAATAATCTTTCAGGCCGGGCTAACCAATAAAATAGAAAACCCTGACACCATATATAAAACCCTGACACCATACCCGCTGATGGCATTACTTCTCGGTACAATTGAACGAAGCAAATAGACAGGCTTCATACAACAAGTAGAATAAAATTAACCAAGACGGTCAAAGTGTGGAAAAGCAATTAAGCATTGACAGTTCAGAAAAACACCAGGGAAAAGGAAAAAAAAAAAAAGCACTAAAGATAAACATAATTGCTCGGGCATAAAATCCACCAACTCAAAAAGTCATGTAAAACAACGACAAGTATAATACCCAGGATCCATATTGATGATGTCACAGATCTCAATGTTCATCCCCCAGTCAGGACCAATGAGCATATCACTGGTTGCCCTTTCAACGAGTGAAGCAGCCATGGTCAAAGACTTTCTTCAAGGTACTCCTCGCTGCACAAAGAAAGAGTGAAGAAACCAGCACCTGGAGCTTCAAATTACATGAAGTTATGACCTGTGACAAAATATCATTAGTTGATCAACTCTCTCTCTCTCTCTCTCTTCGTCATAAGAGGCGGGAAAAAATGGAGAAAGGAGAATTGTAATGAACTTACCGTGTAGTTTAGAGATTGAGAGCATGAAATAGGAGTGGAAGAAATGGAAATGGAGAGTCTCAAGTTGCAGAGATGAGGTTCTAGGGCTTACACCAAAGCATGAATTGGAAAATTTTGAGGGTTTGGTGAGAGCCACAAAAGTCTTCTTCCTCGATTCCAAGCCAGGGTAAGACCTTGGCGAATTAGTCGTCGATAACCTGCCAAACCACTTGTTTTCTTAAACATGAATGAGAGAGAGATGGCGGTTGAACGCCTTCCTCATATGTAGAAATAGTATTGCCTTTCTTCTTTTTCTTTTCCTCGTTCTTAAAAAGTTTATATAAGGTTGCAACGTTACCCCCGTAGCTGCGGATGCACCTTAAAAATCCATCGTAAAAAAGTAGTTTTAATGTTGAAAAAGCCCTTGATTGATCATCTCGATATCGAGATATATGACCATAAAAAATAAAAACATTTTAAATATCAGAGATAGTGCATTTAACAACATATTATCTATACCTTCCATTTTCAAGATTTTTATATGTTTATAGATATTTTAACCATTTTTAAATTTAAAATTTTATAATTTGATATAAAAATAGATTTTGAAATAATCTAAATAATATTTTACATCAAAATTATATAAAATTTTTTGACCTTTAATAGTCATTGGAGAGAGAGAGACGGGACTTTGCAGGAGCCGAGGAGGAATTGGGAATCTTTTACCATTCACCAACAAAAACTAAACCAAATGCAGCCCCTGTGTAAAGGGTGTGCTTTGTATAGAGCCGAGGCTCTAAACAATCAAAATAAAGTGCACCTTCAAATAGTATTTAGAAATGTGATTTTAATATTGAAAATTTTTGTGATAGCGTTAGAATATATTTTTTATTTAACTATAAAATGTAAAGCTTCAAAAATAATGTAGATTAGTAGATATATGAAAACTTCAAAAATTTGAAAATTAACATACCAAAAATGTGTTACATGATGTACTATTTTCAAAACTTGATATCCATTTTTTTCTCATGTCTATGCATCTTGATGTTGAGATGATCAATTTGAGGATATTTAAGCATCAAAACAACCTCTTCAAATGAAATTTTTGATGTGGACTCTAATTTGATTGTTTAAAGCCGGCTTTATATAAACTTTTTCCTCAAAAAAAACGAAAATGGAAAGAAAAATATTAGAAATTTTAGAGATACAATTAGAAATGATAAAATTTTGTTACATCCCCCATGAATGAAATGGCATGTGGGTCAGTTCTTCAGTATTTCATTGGCTACATGATCTTGTATTTAGTGTCGTGTGTGTGAGCTAAGTGCAGGATATGAATTTTTTGTAGCGACCAAACAAAGTAGAAAAGACATGCAGTTATTTACAGACATGTGCCATTCGTAAGTAAAGAATGATTAAAACAAAACACATTCAAATGAAGTTGAAAATTAATGAAAAATGGATTTTAAAAGTGAGTATTAATGATCAAAACAATTTTTAATATTTTCCATAATGTAAAAAATATTAAAACATGTATTACAAATCAAATTCCTTACTTTACAAATCAAATTCCTTACTTTTAGGATTTTATAGATTTAAATTTTTATTATTAAAATACTGACCGATCACCAAATCTGCCCGAAATCGAAACCGACAAAGGGTCAGTTCTAACCTAACTGGGCGGTTACCGGTTAGATCGGGCGGTTTTTCAAACAATGGTCAATGGTCTTTATATCTAACCTGTGCATGCACAAGTAGTTGTACCATATGCAACCCCAACCTATGATTCAATTGAAGGTCGAGCACGGCTAGAGGCACTCCATGGGTATGTCAAGTCTATGAGACTAGCCTACCAAAAGAGAGTTGCATATTTTAATAGATTTTTTTTACATCTTTTTTTTTAGACAATTTTTTGGCCGCCCAGGACTTGCCCAATTATAACCGTTGAATCGGCTGGTTAATTAGGTTAGACTAGTTAAACTGCTTCTGGCCCCATGTCCGATTAACCGTTCCGATTTGATTTTACGAACACTGTACAATACCTTGAACAAGATGATGCAAAAGAACCTAAGGCTTGGATGGTGTTCCTAGGGTCTAGGATCCGAACCAGACATGGGTCTATGACGTGCAACACGCATGGCTCACCTTGTACCCAAGATGGGCAAGTGTGGTGAAGAATGACAATTAAGATTGAGATTGGAATCATATAATTATCATAGATATGGGCTTGCTTAACGACCATAGGCAATATGAGAGAGGGCGAGCATATGGGTAATAGGCTTGATTGGTCATTAATAGACATGTAAGACTTGTGCATATTTGAAGTGGCATGCGTGGTGCACTAATGACCTATAGAGTGGATTGACAAAACCGTCAAACCCACTTAATCAGCCACAATGGGCTGGTCATTGATATTGGCCATAGGCTTACAACTGCCACGCTAGGCTATGGACACTAATGGTGGCGCAGGGCTTAATGTGATGTGATTTGTGGGTGCATACTTGGGGCTCTATAAGCCTCTTGCCTAGACTTTTGAGGGGCATACGTGGTTGCATACGAGCAAGTGTATAAACTAATAAACAGTGGAATGAGGCCCTTTTCTATACTTTGTGGCTACTTTTTGTGCTCATTTTGCTCCAATCCTTGTGTGTTCTTGTAGAAGGTTGCCCATACTTTGAGGATGCTCAAACCCATGAGGACGATCTCGTGAGTATACATTTTATGTACCTCACTAGAGATGTCAGGCTATGCTTAATGATGTGGTTCGGGACACACTTCAATGCTTAAAGTCAACACTTCAAAGGCCTTCAAATAAGAGTTAAAGGATTAGTTATTGCATAGTAATGCAGTCTAGGTGGCTCGTGAGGCTTTATGAAAGCTTTGACTAATAATAAAAGTGAGGGAGCATGCAAAGACAGTGGTATCTCTCATGATGGATATCTAGGCCATGAGCAATGCGGAGTGGCTATCGAACTCATTGTCTAGGTTACAAAGCTAGGCCAAACCAAGTTGAGAATGCAAGGTGTGTGAAGCTTGTATGCTGCTATCCCAGCAGATGGTTCAACAAGTTCCAACAGTTATGGCAAGTTGATTCGCCACATGGGAACAGGTTTTCAAGGTCCAATGGTTCCAGACCTGCGCGTCACAATGAGGCTTGACTAAAGAAGAGGCAAGCAAAGAGAGAGAAGCACCCTCAAAGTCCTTTTTATGCTACTTGAGTCATCATTGAGGGAGGAATTGCTCACAAAACAACACAAATCATCATTAAGGGAGGAATTGCTCACAAAACAACACATCAACATGATTTAAGTAGTTGGGTTAAAGGAAAAGACACCTCTATGCAGTTATGCTTTTTAAAAATGAAGGAATTTCATGGAGGCTTGGATATGATGCGTCCGCCGCCACCAAATCCTAGATTGCCATTGCTTGCAAACCCCTAGGAAAGCAAAGACCAATCCATAGGTTTCCATACCAAAAAAGCCTAAACTTGTGGACCTCAAGAATCAGAATCGAATACAAACAATAAGTTCAATTAGCCCAAAATTCATCATCCCATCATTTCTTTTAAATCAAAATCTCATTTGATTAGAGAGTTAGACCTTAAGAAAGAGGTCTAAAGTTGAAGATGACTACACTGGCAGCTTCCCAGACAGCATTGGAGTGACTACAACAAGGAGTGTCACCATCTCAAATATAATATGGTTCCTATCGACTGTCACTACGGATCCCGATTGTCGGAGACCTTTCAACCACACTAACTCAAAGATTGCAGGGCCAGTCCGATGTCTTATGGATCAAAAGCATCCATCTGCGTAGCGCCTACCCAAAGGGTACTAGTCATTCAAAAGAATGATCCCTCGAAAAAGGTTTTCCTTCCCACCGCGTCTCATGTGTCTACTTTTTTGCCATTCGCTTGGTGCCCCAAGTGAATGTGAAAGAGGAAAAACTAGACACCCCCTTGAAATTCTGGCTAAGAGAACTCATAAAAACCTCGATTCTAGTCCTAAAGGACCACACAAATCTTAGTAGATTATATGCAACTTAGACATAATTTAATTACTCCAAACTAACTAAATTCTATCCCAACTTGAAGTAGAGCCCGAGATCTTTCCAACGGTCCAAGAATCGTCTGAATCGGACTTACGGATAAAAAGATATAACAAATGACAATTTAGTCCTTATGTGATCTCAGTGTTGAGCCACGGGGCGAGCTGTAATGCAGCCGGGAAGGCCTATACACAGTTGATGACATAGACGCGGCCTGATAATGCAGTCAACACGTTTTAAGTAAAGGCATTTTCTTGAATTAGATAAGGCTGAAACTTCAAAATAAATCCAAACAATTCCAAAAAAATTAAAAAACAAATCGAGAAAAATCACTAATTTTATCTTATAAATATCCCCTCTCCCTAACCCAAAAAGAGAACAAAAAAAAGACCAAGAAAGAAAGAAATTCCTTAGAAATTCTTGAAATTAGAAAAATTACCCAAAAATACTCAAAAATAGGAAAAACCCCTTAAATATTTCCTAAGAAATTAGAAAAAATCCTTAAAAAGCCCTAAAAATCAGAAAAAATCTCATAATTCATATTCAAATTCTGGATATCCCAAAAACCTTAGAAAACTTAGGACATTATTTTCCAACCCGAAGAAATGCCTATGTAGACCCTACCTAAAAATCTCAACTTTTTCAAATTCTTTAGGAACCCTAGCTATAGGTCAAATAACTTTAGATTTATCATGTCCCACAAGAAAAGACATTAAAAAAAAGGAGATGGTGGTACAAATTGCCAGAGCGGCCAGATCCATGCCTGAAACTCTGAGTTTCAGATCCCTAGAGGTAAGTATCACTTTTTTTTAAACAAATTAGTTTTTTTTCTTCATTTAATTCTCTTTTTTATTTTATTTTTTAAATTAATTATTATTATTAGATTTGATTAAATTTAGAAGCGTTTTTAGGTCAAAATAAGAATTTGGAGCTGTCGTTGCTAGTTGACTCATAAAAAAACCAAATCTGTATAGGTTTGGAATTTTTCTGACCCTATAATTCAAGTGACCCCATTTTCTCTACCTTTTAAAAAATAAATCAGTTTTTGCTAAGATTTGACCAAATGTCATCCTAGAGATCGGTGTAAATCGGAGCATAAACATGATAGAATCAATTTCGTTTTAGTGGATATTATGAGATTGAAGATTCTACTTTTTTGCTTTTTGAGTGGCACTTTCATCCCCTTCGTCTGTTTAAATCTCAGGCTCTGTTAGACTTTCTCCCATAACTGGATCCAATTTTGATGTTCCTCTCGACTAGCTTGCCTCTCAGAGATGTGAGCAAAGTTAATCAATTCGGGCAATGTGTGGTACCCTGAGAGGAGGGAATTTGGAGTTTCTTAGGTCGGCCTTGAGGAGGTGTATGGTGTTTAGACGTCTTTAGATGCCCCACCTTGCCCAGAGTCCAACCTCTAAGGCCGTTTCACGCATATGAAGAGGGAGTAGCTGACAAGATGGTACTTGAAGGAAACTTCTTTGAGTACCACGTAGTAAGCAGCTTCGGGGTAGTGAGGGGCATGTCTGACGCTCCTTTCCCGTTTTTGCTGATAGCATCACCGAACTTGCAGGTGTGTTCATGACCCGCAATAGTGTTTGTGGTATTTTGTGACCCAACCCTTGGTGAATTGAAGGGCCGAGTATTTGAAATACTCACCCTTTTAATTGGAGTAGCCTTAGGCCTTTTAGCATACATGTGTATTTTCTTGGAAGACTTTCGATTACCTCGAAAGTCATGTGCTCATTTGGTTCCCACCTTTGGGCTTCCCCGAGCCGCGAGATCAACATGCAATGCATTGGTGGCTCGAAGACCACTTGTGGTGAGTTCGGGTCCCAAGAGACCCGAAGTAGGTGAGGAGACTGGGGTAAGTTGTTGCCTGTCTCATTTTTTCATGGTAACGGTTAAACCATTAGCCGTGACATGCGTGAATGTGTGTGGGGTGGCTTTGGGACTACCCAAACTAGCATAGGAATCGCCAGAGTGCGGTGTGTGCGGCGATGTGCTAGTGCTAGCAATGCCTTTGTCAAGCAAGGGTGGGGTTATGTCACGAGCTTGCCCCCTGTCCCCATACAATACAAGCTAGAGGGCGACAGAGTGCAAGACCGCGACGTGAGGTGGTGAACACCACTCAGGTGATGGTGGCTCAATGCATAAAACAGGTGGTATCAAGAGCAAACCACCAAATCAAATAGAAATCCATTCAACAAGACATATATTTAACCAAAAACAAAGTCATATCCATTTACAATCATTCTCCAAAATTGCTTTTCAATCAGGTCAAGACACTATTGGCCACAAAATACAAGGTAAACGTAAAACAAACATCTCGGTGATGCCGCCACCAACACCTACTATGAAAAGCTTCTTATAATGTATGCACAATTTGGGGATATACTGGTTATTTCATCAGTGGTATACATACATGCACATCGAGGCATGGTGTTTGATTCACAAGGACCCTAATTAAATCTCAGAATTAACTTAATATAGGCCTGGCAAATTTCATGTAATTTCAGACAGTGACGTTCTGTCATAAACAGAGACGTAACTTACAATCCATTCAGAATTCAGAAATGGTTCCAAAACAAATTTTACAATAGACATGCATATCTTTCAAATGGGGATGGTTTGGAAGCGTTTGGACCTTGTTTGTCCCTTCAAAACCTCAGTACAACGGAAGCATGCCATCTGAAATCTGATGCACAGTTGTGATAGTGACATGGCCTTATTTGAAGAATTATAACTTTCAGTCCATTAAGTATTTTAAGATGGCTTCAAAACCAAAGTTCGAGTGACAACACGTATCTTTCCAACAAGGGCCATTTAAAAGTATTTGAAATCCATTTGGTCATTCAAACTTTTATGACAACTGAAGTGATGGCTCCGGAATTTATTAAAATCTTTCCATAGTGACATACCCTCACAAATTAATGCATAACTCTCAATCTACGAGGAATTAACAGTGACATGCTTGCACATGTTGGGGCATAACTTCCTATTTATAAAGAATCTAAACAATGTGTAAACATGAACATCATAATAGACACGTATATATTTCTATGGTAGTGATTTGAAATCATTTGAACCTCATTTGGCTATTCAAGAGCTTGTTACAAAAACATGAACATTTCTGAAAATTCACAGTGTGCACACAACATGCCTCAAATAATTCCTAATAACTTTCAATTCACAATAGATAATATCATAGAGTCTTGTCCATTTTAATTTAGACATACATAAACACGTTTCTACAGATTTTTATGAGGAATAGAGTCATTTTCGACATCAAAACCCATCATGCAACAAAGGCATCAGTTCTGTGAAACAGTACATAAACTACTAATACACGATCACTTTCTTTCACCCCTTTCATACTTGTACTATTTTAGTTCCATGCCTCACAAGTTTAGAGGCAATGGTGGATTGATCCACTTACCTACTATGCATTGGTGCCTTCAAATCCTCTTTTCACAGTCCCCTTCAAGCTTATTACAAGGGCTCTTTAATAGAGTAACAATGAGCTCCAAGTGTTGGGCTCTTAGAGAGAGAAAATGAGAAAAATAAATAGCGTGAGAGAGAGACACGCTTAAGTACCCTATTGGATGGGGTGGCAGTCCAAAGATTGACACGCAGAAAGCACCACACATGCAACATAGCAAGTGGGGTGTGTGGCACAATGCATCTGGCAAGTAGCAGTCTTGTTCATACAAAGTGGTAACACAAATGGCGATAACACAAAAGGCGATAACATAAAAGGCGATAACACAAACGACGATAACACAAATGGCGATAACAGAAACAACGATAACATAAATGGCGATAACACAAACGGCGATAACACAAATGGCTATAACACAAACGACGATAACACAAAAGGAGATAATACAAAAGGCGATAACACAAAAAGCGATAACACAGAAGGCTTTAACACAAAAGGCGATAACACAAAAGGTGATAACACAAAAAGCGATAACACAGAAGGCTTTAACACAAAAGGCGATAACACAAAAGGCGATAACGCAAACGACGATAACATAAAAGGCAATTACACAAAAGCCGATAACACAAATGGCAATAACACAAAAGGCGATAGCACAAAAGGCAATAACACAAACGACGATAACACAAACGACGATAACACAAATGGTGATAACACAAACAACGATGACACAAAAGGCGATAGCACAGAAGGCGATAACACAGAAGGCGATAACACAGAAGGCGATAGCACAGAAGGTGATAGCATAGAAGGCGATAAGACAAAAGGCGATAACACAGAAGGCGATAACACTGAAGGCGATAACACTGAAGGCAATACCACAAAAGGTGATAACACAAAAGGGACAGACGGCGGTAAAACTTCTCTTCTCCTCTTCCCATGGCTTTTCACTGCCGCGCAAGCCATTCTAACTGGGAAAAGTTTCAGTCCTTACATGTTACTTTTCGGTTACCCACTAAGATGGTGGTCTTATCAGGACTCACCGAGCGAAGAAGAGAAGTGGCGTCAGGACCAATTTTAGGCTTGACAGGGTGCATATGTGAGGAGGTGGTTTCAGAGCCATCCATGCAGTGAACATCAATGGATTTCCCTTTGATGTCGGAGGAGGAACAAGGGTTTGAGCACCTTTTCCCCTAGTTTTTCTAACCTGAACTAAGATGGTAGATCCAGCCAGGCCGCTTGAGGAGGACAGGGGAGAAGCAAGATTAACTGTTCTGCTCTTCATAGGTGAGGTCACAAATATGGGGATGATGAAGTCCCCAACTTGGACAAAAGAGGAGTAATGGGACCCCATTGCAGTTTTAAAAAGAGAAAGAAGCGAGATGTTGGCCTGCGAACGATCCAAGCCAGTTATAGGGTGGCATGTCCTTAGTGGAGTCGCCAGTAGGTCGGGGCCCGATTTTTCCTCGCACGGACGGTGGGAAAAAAATCCTATCTCAAACAACTGTAGAGGGTCCGTGCGCGCTGCACATTTGTTGGTGTGCGCACACGTGCTCTCTTTTGTATGGATAGGAACCAACAATGAGAAATATTTTACGACAGGGGTGTGTTTAGGTGCCTACCTCATCGTTTGGGGGTTCAGAGACATGCCCAGGCAATTCGCCTCTTAGAACAATTATGAACCCCTCCGGTTGTCTGCCAACGAGGTTTGGACACGAACTCTCCTCGAGCTTTAAAACGTCGCGTTGTTCTCTTATGCTAGAAACTGCAATGTGAATTCGACGATATTCCTCTATAATAGTTCACTCAAACGGGGAGCTGGCTGGCAAAAGAAAGAATGAGGGGAGAATTCGTGACAAGAATCCCTCTATCAGGGCAAACGCTATGCACTCAGGCAATCAGAGCAACTAAAAAGTTAGAACTCTCTCAACTATCGACTCAGGAAGACTCCACCCGAGTGAGTGAGGGAGAGAACGTATGTATTTCTCGTGGATCAACTAAACTATATGGAGAGGAAGTTAGAATGATGGTCCGAGGGTTGGAACTCTTGGGATGACTCTGAAGGGCATTGAATTGAGCGTATAATGGATAACATGATGCTATATGGAGCTGCAGGTTTGCTGCATTTGCGCTTGAAGCACAAAAGGGGAAGATCACAAAGAGAGATGGGACCACATGTTCCATGGCTCCGAGACCCACAGTGCGACGAGAATGAGAGAAAGAAGGGGGAAGAGATGGGGCCACATGTTTTTCGCAGCTGTAGGTTACTGCGTGATGTAAGCAACAAGTGGAGAGAGAGAGAGGAAGAGAAAGAATGAAGAAAGAGGAGAGAGAGTGGGCTTGAGGTGTGGCCTAACCTAAGAGACGGAGAGAGAGAATGGGGCTATGTGATCAGAATGGGCCAGGAGTAGGTTCTCTCTCTGAAATTTTTCTCTCTCCTTGCCGCTGGATCCAAGGGTTAGAAGCAAACGACAAGTGGACATAAGCTTAATGCCTCGATTTCGTTAATGAATGATCCAACCTTTTTACAATTGACCTAAGATTGTTTATATAGAGGACCCACCAAACATGGGTGGATGCTTAAAACTAAGCCAAATTATGATTAAAAGAAATTATAATAAAATCTTTAATTTAAGAATAATGACCAAAATGCCCCTTTAAACCTTTTGTACTAATGACGAAACCATCACTTTCTGTGGGGCCTTTCGCCATTGCCAGATCTTGGGAGCTTTTTCAGATGCTTGTGGCAATGGTTAAGACAATCCATCTTTGTAGTCTTGATACGTGCTTGATTCTGAAGAGTTTGATGTCTTTTGATCATCGTGAGACTGACTTTTTTCGAGGGGTAAAAATCCAGTTAGGTTGTGAACTTTTGCCATCAATGCAATGCAATCCATGGTGCTCCAATCTTTATTTTGATTGCAAATTAAAGAGGAGAGCGTCACAATTGCTTTGCACCAAATTTTGTCCGATTTGGTTATTGCTTGAAGTATTTATGAATTCAAGAGGCCGCTGGAAAAAGGGATTTTGGTGATCGGGAAATCTTGCCTTCTTCAACCTTAGAATTTGTTCCATCTGACCTTAAGTTGAGTGCAAAAGTTGTACCAGCTTGTAGCCCTTTGTGATACGGTCGCATCAGACCTGACCTTGCGACGATCCAATGTACGGATATCAAGTTATTGCTTTACAAAATTCGAGATGTCTTTCTTTCAAAAATCTGATTTTTATGGTTTTGGGCTCATCTTCTCTTTAGAAAAGCTTTGGTTCTGGGTCATGTTATGATACGTGCCACACGTCAAAATGATCTGGTAATCGAGACCTAGCTTGTATCCGAATCCAAACGAGCGACCTGTGGGTGCTTATAGATCAATCAGAGATTTGAAAATATAACCTCCATGATTGGAAACTGGTTTGGTGAGGTTGTACCGCAATAGTGTAAAACCTACATGTTTGGGGTAATTAGGCCCAAAATGTCTCTGGGAGGTCCAATTGAGTCCAAATTTGGTCCCTGGGGGTTTTTCGATGTTTTGGATGCAATGAAAGTGGTCTGGTATTGTTTTTAAGCCCTTAGAATAGGGCTATAGTTATAAGGTCTCTTTCCGGCATGATGAGACAATCTTTGAGAACCAAATTTTATCTTGATCGGGTCAAAACTTATTTGAATGTGACGAAACTTTATGACTGTCCTTCAAGTATCCCAAAATACCTTTTTCATGTCTTTCAAAGCTGTTCTAGAAATTTTCCAAGGTTGCTCAGTTTTAGGCTTATTTTGTAGTGTTTCCATGGTCTGGCGGGCTTGGGTACCAGCAGGACCAGGTTGTTACTGACTCTCTTCTTATTTTTACCAGGGACGTAAGTACGTAAAAAATGACATATAACATATATATCTCAGATAGTTAGATGTTATGTTTCAGATATAAAATCCTCCTTAAACCTTTTCCTAGGGCGGCCTTGGCTTCATAAAAATTTGGTCATACCCTCGACACTTCACTAATGTCTCTAGTTTACGACAGATCAAGGGGGTAGTCCATTTTTCCTGCCTAGCCCCAAGTTGTTAATCTACTAGATTTGAACCCATCAAGAGCCATCAATATCTCGAGGAGCTTTGACGCACGTTTAGTAATATATGATAAACCTTATTATGCCACTCTTACTCTCGAAACAAGCAATCCTGCTCTTGAAAATTTTTACAACACTCCATACTACAAGGAGGTTCAATTCTGCTATGACAAATATAAATATGGGTCACCCTAAGCCTAGTACATACTCATAACCCAAGGTTTTTGCGTCGGGCACAACATAGGACCCTTGGAGTGACGACCCAGATTTTTCTCAGCCAGTTAGAGTGTATGGAAGGATAAGGAGGAAGGAAGAAGAAGAAGGGAAAGCACGCGGCAATAGTAGAGAGCCCAGTGGCTGAGTAGGGAGCTCAGCACCAGCTGTGTAGAGAGCCTAGCGCCGGCTAAGTAGGGAGCCCAGTGCCGGCCGAGTAGAGAGCCTAGTGTTGGCTGTCTAGAGAGCCCAGCGCCGACTGAGTAGAGAGCCCAACATTGGCTGAGTAGAGAGCCTAGTGCCGGCTGTGTAGAGAGCCCAACGCCGACCGAGTAGAGAGCCCAGCGCCGGATGTGTAGAGAGCTTAGTGTCGACTGTGCAGAGAGCCCAGCGCCGGATGTGTAGAGAGTTTAGTGTCGACTGTGCAGAGAGCCCAGCGCCGGTTGAATAGAGAGCCCAGTGCCGGCTTAGTAGAGAGCCCAGCGAGCCCAGCACCGGTTGAGTAAAGAGCCCAGCATTGGCTAAGTAGAGAGCTCAGTGCTGGCTGAGTAGAGAGCCCAGTGCTGACTGTGAAGAGGATCAAGGACCAGTATCGGCTGTGTAGCGCCGCCTGCTCTAACGTGCATGTGTTAATGGTGCGACTTGTTGAGTGCATGCTGTTTGAATGCCACTTGTCAGGATTTTGAAGTCTTTTGGTGCCACTTTGGCAGCCACCCCACCCTCATGAATACTTAAGCCTCTTCTCTCACCCATGCCACTCATTCTCTCTCTCTAAGACACAAGGTTTGAAAAAGTGACTGTTGGTAGGCAGCCATTGTTGGGCGGGTGAGAGCTATGAAAAGAGGAGTGGAGAAGACACCATTGTTGTTTAGGTAAGTAGATCCATCACCATTGCATTGCAGTCATAAGGATGCATGAGGATTTATGCATGTGAAATGAGTAACGAAAGTGTATGTGATGTAGAAAATCCTTACGCCTTGTTCACTAAAAATTGGGGCTTTTGTTCTATGATAATGGTGGATGATGAGAATGAATGTATGATTATTAGATTATGTAAGAAATGCATGTTTGTGTGTACATTGTGAGGGAATGGTTGTTATCATGTTCTTCACCATGAAATGAAGGTTATGGAATGTGTTCTTGAAACATGTCATATGATATTGAGAAATTCCAGAAATATGTGTATCCTTTAAAGAGGTTTTTGAATAGCCAAATGGGGTCCGATTGAATTCAAATCACTGCCATTGAAAATATATATGAGTCTAGTAAAATGTTCCTTTTTTTCCATAATTGAAATTCTTTATGAAAATGAAGTTATATTTCAAAATGTGAAGGTATATCACTACTGACTGTTTTCCTCGATTTTTCACTAATACCACTGTGGTCACTGATTTTAACTAACCAAATGAAGTTCATTTTCGTCCAAACCACATCCATTTGAAAATTTTTTGAATGGGCTAAAACTTTCATGAATAAACTATTTTGAAATTCTTCATAGATTAAACATTATACTTCGTTTTATGAAGGTATGTCACTGTGGGCGGTTTTGATAAAATCCAGAACTTTCACCTTGTTTGGCACAAATTTTTGAACCACCAAATGGAATCCACATGATTTCAAATTTTTTTTTTCAGAAATATATACGTCTTGTCTTAAACTTTGATTTTGAAACCGTCACATGTTGCTTCATGGCTTGAGAGTTGTAGTGATATGAAACAGGGTATATCGCTATCCCTTGGCACCATCGGGTGCAGCTAGTAAACCCTCAACTCTTTGAAATTTTAAGAGGCCAAACGTGTTCCAATTTAT